GCCGCGTCGATAGCAGCGCGGGGAGGACCATGCTAGGTCGCTGGGGCATATCCTTCGTTCTGAATGAGTGTCGATCCACACCCTTGACGGGTCCGCATTTCTTTTCACTAGTTACGTTTCCCATCCTACGACCTTCAACATTCGGATCCTCTTTTGACCTTCCTAGAGTGATGAGCAAGATACGATCCCAAGCCTAGAAAAGTGAGATATTGGGTCGTATACTCACAATTCGGCCTCCACCCTTTCAGGCTCCGAACAATGCTATCTGGACAAAACCTTGGTCACTAGTCCTAATAAGACCTCGCGAGCAGTCTGAAAAAGCAATGATGACTTATCCTACCACCATGTTACCGACTCCGCAAGGTGGTGCAGTTGGTCAGGGCGAAACGTGCTTGGACCTCCGGTCGTATGCGAGGAAATAGCGCCATTTGCAATCCCATCATCTCCACTCACTTTGAAAAGGCAATTTCCTTTTTGTTAGAGCAGCAGTGAAGTTGCTTAACTCTGCCAACACAGTTCACTTTGATAAACGTTGAAATTTTTATTAAAGCCCGATAAATACCTTAGTACAAACTGCCGGTAATCAACAGTTTGTGATAGCAGACAATGCTTGATTTCTGATTAGTTTGGAAAAACATTGAGTTAACGCATCCATCTATTGAGTGGTTTGTGTTTGCTGAGACGTCTGCGGCGTTGGTGCGGTACCCGGTGATGGCGGTGGTTGCGGTTCTTCGCCAGGATCACCAGTTTCATCGTGCTTCTGCTCAAGCTCGCGTCGAACCTTCTCAAACTCTTGGGGTTTCAACTGTACAAACGATAGCTCTAAGCTGGCATCCACCTGAAAAAAAAACGTGAAGAAGCTTAGAATTAGAGAGCTTCGTCGATGACCTGCCTCAGACTGGATTCATTCAAACAACCAAAAACAAACGGCGTACAAAAGCAAAGATAAAAAAGGGATTATGGACAATTCAAGCAACAGTTGGTGCTTGTTTTGACCGTCGACTTCAGAAGGTTCTTATAGATGCTCTGGTAGGAGTCGAAGCAACAAACCCAGATCAAATTGTGGGGTGACACCGGTCGATTAAAATTGTTGATACCGAGCTGACTCAGGGTGAAAAAAAAGAAGTGACGCAAACAATCGATGAAGCCCTTGAAGCACAGGTTGGATCGAGCTGGGGTATTTTTGCGCTTGAAAGTGGTGCACATATGTATGTGAAATGGGACGCTAGTGGAACCGAGAAAAGGCCGTAGGCGGAACCAAGGGCGTCCCCTTCCCTAACTGTAGGGAAGGAGGCTGGCTTGAGAGGAAGGCATCTCCGGAATTGTTAGCTATTGCGGGCTCCCATGCGAGCAGCCGATACGGCAATCACGCAGCTCATTTACACCCTATGCCGGTCACACGCGGTGCGTTGCAGTTCTCTCCTCAGATCAGGTCAATCCTAAATTGAGACACCACTCATTTGCTCGAAGCAAGCTTAGGACTAAGCCTAGGTTCAATCACAGGCTTAGGCATAAGGCAATGTGTAAGCATATGCCCAAGGTTGAGCCAAACCCAAGCTTGACCTTAGGCCTCAATGATGCTCAGCTCATGGTGAGCATCATTTAGGCTCAAAGAGAAGAAGTGAACGTCTCCCCGGTCACCACCATCTTCCACTGTGGGCAGTCATAGGCAATCCAGGCGGCCATCCCGCCTGGATTGCCTATGACTTCTTCATCAAAATTCTAGGCGTTATGCCACGCCGTTTCGGGTCAGCCTTTTGGTTGCAGTCTCACCCACATCAGTGATGAAAGGGGATTGTTTGACCGCTTTATCCCGACCCGTGCTTTTAAGTAAGACTACCTCGCTCTCCCCCTCCCCGAAACGAGTGAGGGGCGTGTCCGGACAAGCTTTGTGAGCCTGCGCGCTCCACGGCTCAACTGACCCGCGTGTTCTGAATTAGCCGCCACAGTAATTCACGCTGCGTATCATGGAGTTATCTCGTCCTCACATTAGCAGTCCTATATGATGCAACAATGAAAATAGAAGCAGAGATAAACTCTCGCCCCATAGGGCTTTTACTTTATAGCCCATCTCTGTTAGTGTGCGACTTGCATCGAAGAAAGCGTGCACCAGAATGGGAGACCAACAACATCGGGGTAAGATATATGGAGGTGAGTGGGGCGTGGAAAGGACTAACGCAACTAAAAGGGGCAGAGCATTTGGACCTAACACCTTCGTTATTTGCCGCGTCTTCGTCGCAGTTACGACACATGGCTTCCTCTTGCACCTTCGCACTTTTTTAGTAGCTCAGCACATCACATAAGATTATCGCGGAACGTGCCTTTAAGTAAAAAACAACATACCTTAACAACCGCTGCATAATTGACGAGCTCTTCATGATATCGGGCCGCTGAGAATACCGTAATTAGGGCACGACCACAAAAGAATGCATAACCGAATTCCACCACCTACAAACTTCTTACTCACCAGCAGCCATGGTTAGCTTTTGTGATTTCACACAAAGTATACGTATCGATCAGGCGTCGATTTGCGAGGTATTCGCCATTGTATGGATTACGTCTAATGGTAAGTGGATAAATGATTTAACACGTACCTGATGGGCTCTGATTATCAGATCGATATTCAGCTGCTTACACTTGTCACGTACCGTATCTTCGCCAAAGATATGTGACACAGCTCGAATTTTGTTTTGCTATAAACACAGCTTCGTTTCCCAAAGCAAACCGGATAACTGTACCAGGCGCTCATCCAGTAAGGGGGGGGCATCAAGTGGCTGCCTCACCCCACCCCACTAACTGATACACTTCCCCCTTGCGCACAGGTTTCTCGGTGAATGGGACTCCATGAGCCAGGGGGAGTGAAGGACAGTCCAGGGGGTGGGGAGTGAGGGCAGCCATTTGACATTGCATCACAATGCCCCCTTACCGGATGAGCGCCCTGTACCAATTCAATTGAATACCTGGAATCCCTTCGTACCCGTCTCAGGATCAGCCCACAGTAGATCTTGCGCCAAGCCACGTACGACTCTCAGTGGCCGTTGTAACTTACGAATATCGTCGAGGCTGTTCAGATTCGGTGATAAACCTGTCGTTATCATGATTGCTGATCAAACATGTAATGCTGGAGTAAGAATAGGCTTA